CGTGTGGGGTCCAACACGCTAAGAATTCATGACCTCACGCGTGTTCAGTCCAACACGCTAACAACACCCGACCTCACGCATGTGGAGTCCACCATGCTAACAACACGCACCGTCACGTGTGTGCTTGGCGTGATGTTGAACACACTAAGAACACGTGACATCACGCGTGTGGGGTCGAACACGCTAACACATGTCAAGTGTGTGCCTCAAAAATGCTAACATACGACGTCACTTGTGTGCTTGGCGTGACATCGAACACACTAAGTGCACGTGATGTCACGCATGTGGTGGGGGGTACAAAAAATCAGGGGGAAAAAATTGGGTGCAAAAAATTGTTGATAAAAAATTAGTGTGTAGAAAAAAATGGGGGTGTAAAAAAAATCGGGAGAAAAATTAGAATGGTACGAAAAATCGGGGAAAAATGGGGTGGTACAAAAAATCGGGGGAAAAAAATTGGGTGGTACAAAAAATCAGGGATAAAAATGGGTGTGTACGAAAAATCAAGGGAAAAAATTGGGAGGCACAAAAATCAAGATAAAAAAATGGGGGTGTAGAAAAAATGGGGGAAAAAATTGGGAGGTACAAAAAATCGGGGGGGAAAAAATGAGTGGTACAAAAAAATCAAGGGAAAAAAATGGGGGTTACAAAAAATCGGGGGAAAAAATAAGGAGATAGAAAAAATCGGGGGAAAAAAATGGGGTGGTACAAAAAATTGAGTCAAAAAAATGGGGGTGTACAAAAAGTCAAGGGGAAAAAAATATGGGGTGTACAAAAAATCAAGGGTAAAAAAATTATGGTGTAGAAAAAATCAGAGAAAAAATGGGTGTGTACAAAAAAATCAGGAATAAAAGATGGGGGTGTACAAAAAATGAGGGGGAAAAATCGGGGGGTACAAAAAATCAGGAAAAAAATATGGGAGGGTAAAAAATCCAGGGGAAAAAAATAGAGTGGTAGAAAAAATCAAGGGAAAAAAATGGGGTAGTTTAAAAAATGGGGGGGGGAAATTGGGGTGTAAAAGAATGGGGGAAAAAAATGCGGTGCACAAAGAATGGGGGTGTAGAAAAAAATGGGGAGAAAAAATGTGGGTGTACAAAAAAATCAAGGGAAAAAAATAGGGGTGTACAAAAAATCAGGAAAAAACCTATGGGGGTGTACAAAAAATCATGGGGAAAAAATGGAGTTGTACAAAAATGGGGGAAAAATCGGGGTGTACAAAAATCGGGGAAAAAAATGGGGTGTACAAAAATCCAGGGAAAAAAAGGGGTGTACAAAAATCGGGGCAAAAATTGAGTGATATAAAAAATCAGGGAAAAAAATGGGGAGGTACAAAAATCAAGATAAAAAAATGAGGGTGTACAAAAAATGGGGGAAAAAAATGGGGTGTACAAAAATCAAGATGAAAAAATGGGGTGTACAAAAAATCGGGGAAAGAAATGGGGTGTACAAAAATCGAGATAAAAAATGAGGGTGTACAAAAATCGGGGGAAAAAAATGGGGTGTACAAAAAATCAAGAAAAAAATGGGGTGTACAAAAATGGGGGAAAAAATTGAGGGTGTACAAAAATCAGGGGAAAAATGGGGGTGTACAAAAATCAGGAGAAAAATGGGGGTAAAAATGGGGGAAAACTGAGGGTACAAAAATCGGGGAAAAAAATGGGGGTGTATAAAAAAATCAAAGGAGAAAAATTGGTGGGTTCAAAAAATCGGGAAAAGAAATGGGGGTGTATAAAAAATGGAAAGGAAAAAATTGAAGGGTACAAAAAATGGGAGGAAAAAATTGGGAGGTACAAAAAATCCAGGGGAAAAAAGGGGGTGTACAAAAAATCGGGGCAAAAAATTTGAGTGATATAAAAAATCAGGGGAAAAAAATTGGGAGGTACAAAAAATCAAGATAAAAAAATGGGGGTGTACAAAAAATGGGGGAAAGAAATGGGGGGTGTACAAAAAATAAAGATAAAAAAATGGGGTGTACAAAAAATAGGGGGAAAAAATTGAGTGGTACAAAAAATGGGGGGAAAAAAATTGGGGTGTACAAAAAAATCGGGAGAAAAAAATGGGGGTGTATAAAAAATCAAAGGAGAAAAATTGGTGGGTTCAAAAAATCGGGAAAAGAAATGGGGGTGTATAAAAAATGGAAAGGAAAAAATTGAAGGGTACAAAAAATGGGAGGAAAAAAATTGGGAGGTACAAAAAATCAGGGGGAAAAAATGGGGGTGTACAGAAAATGGGGGAAATGGGGGTGTACAAAAAAATCGGGGGTAAAAAAATCGGGGTGTACAAAAAATAGGAAAAATCGGGCGTTCTATAAATGGGGAGGAAAAAATCAGGGGGTAAAAAAAATGGGAGTAAAAAAATGGAGGTGTACAAAAAATCGGGAGAAAAAAATGGTGTAAAAAATCAAGATAAAAAAATGGGTGTGTACAAAAAATGGGGGGCAAAATATCGGGGTGTACAAAAATTGGGGGAAAAATGGAGGTGTACAAAAACGGGGAAAAAATGGGGTGAAAAAATGGGGTAAAAATGGGGAAAAAATTGAGTTGTACAAAAATCAGGAAAAGGATGTAAAAAATGGGGGAAAAATGGGGGTGTACAAAAAATAGGAAAAATAGGTGTACAAAAAATCGGGGGAAAAATGGGGTGTACAAAAATGGGGGAAAAATAGGAAAATGGTGTACAAAAATCAAGATAAAAAATTAGGGTGTAGAAAAAAATGGGGTGTACAAAAATGGGGGTTCAAAAAATCGGGAGCAAAAATCAGGGGTACAAAAATAGGAGGAAAAAAGGGTTCAAAAATGAGGAGGAAAAAATCGGGGGGTACCAAAAATGGGGGAAAAAATGGTGGTGTACAAAAAATCAAGATAAAAAAATGGGGGGAAAAAATGGGGGGTAAAAAAATGTGGGTTTCAAAAAAATAAGGGGCAAAAAATCGGGGGTACAAAAAACAGGGAGGAAAAAATCAAGGGTTCAAAAAATGGGAAGGAAAAAATCGGGGGGTACAAAAATGGGGGGAAAAAATTGGGGTGCAAAAATTAGGGGGAGGAAAAAATGGGGAGGAAAAAATTGAAAGGTCCAAAAAATGAGGGGGGGAAAATGGAAGTGTACAAAAAATCAGGGGCAAAAAATCAGTGGGTACTAAAAATAGGGGGGGGGGAAATTGAAAGGTACATAAAATGGGGGGAGGAAAAAATCGGAGGTTCAAAAAATGGGGAGGAAAAAATGGGGGGAACAAAAAATGGGAGGAAAAAAATAGAGTGGTACAAAAAAAAAAGATAAAAAAATGGGGAGGTACAAAAAATCAGGAAAAAAAACATGGGGGGGTAGAAAAAAATCCGAGAAAAAAATGGGTGTACAAAAAATGGGGGGAAAAAATAAAGAGGAAAAAAAATCAGGGGAAAAAAACATTAGGGGGGATTGTTTACATTAGGGGGGATTGTTTACATTAGGAGGATAGTTTCATACATCCCACACACACACACACCTCTCACACCCCCCACACACACCCCCACCCACCTCCACAGAGGTTCCATCACTCCAGGGAAGGATCCAGTGCCGGCACTTGGGGAGGAGCTCCAGGTCCCACTGGCACCTCTGGCTGCAGCCCCAGGGGGGCACTGAGTGCATCCCACCCAACCCCCAAATTGGCCTTATTTCAAACCCCCTCCAACTGTCTTTATTTCACACCCCCTCAAATTGTCTTTATTTCACCCCCCTCAAATTGTCTTTATTTCACACCCCCTCAAATTGTCTTTATTTCACACCCCCAAATTGTCTTTATTTCACACCCCCTCAAATTGTCTTTATTATACAGCCCCCAAATTGTCTTTATTTCACCCCCCAATTGTGTTGATTCTCCCCCTGTGTGCCGTGTCCCCGCTGTGGCCGAGGTTCATTCCCCGCTGTCCCGCAGGTTGTTCCACGGAGCTGCTCTGGTCCAAGGTCGCATTGTTCCAATGCCGGCTGCAAAAAAGCACCCGGAGCACTCCCGGCCCCTTCCCTTCCCTCCCCTCCCGTTCCCCCCTTTCAGGCCCAGCGTTGGGGCAGGAGAGGGGGCACTGCAGCTCCTGGGGCTGGGGGGGCAAAGGGGCCCGTCCTGAACTCCATCCGCTGGTCAATACACACACCTGGCTCCATTTCTATCCACCAAGTGCCTTGGAATGCTTTCCCAGCAGTTTGGGCTCCAGCCTCGCCTCCACCACCTGCTTTCCACACACGGTGCTACGACTGAGCCCAGGAGGGCTGTGCTGACACCATCCCTGGGCTCCAGTGGCTCGGGCCTTGCACGACAGGACAGGGCTTTAAAGTTTCCAAACAACCTTTGCAGCATTACATACTCAGGCCACAGATTATCAGAGTCTGAGAGCTGCAGAATTGTTTGCTCAGGATCGACTACTGTACAACATTTTTGATCAACCATTTGTGCAACAAAGTGGACACTCAAACCCACATTTACCTACAGGTCTCCAGGGTTTTTTTCCTTAGAAATGAGGTAAACTCAGAGAACCTTAAAAACACTACAAGGCTTACCTGAAACACGCCTAAAAAACGCACCAACAAAGGCTTTGGAGGCTCAACTGCACTTTTCCAAGTGCCTCGCAAGGAGCATTCCTGTGTCCCAGCTTTACGGGCCTGTAATATAGACCTAAAATCTAAATTTAAATAAATTTTTATATAAATTGCATATTTATAACTTAAATTTTAAACTTTCTCATGCTGCAGCCTGGGGGGGACACCAACCCCTCACAATAAGGCAGAGTAGGGTACTCCATTCCATCATTTGCAGCCCTGATGGCCAGGACTTCAGATCCTGTCTGTCAGTCCAGGCAAAAGCAGAGGATGGCTTGGACTTGCCTCTCTCTGTCCAAAGAATTTACCACACAGATTTGTTATTTGACTGAGGGGATGAGCATTATCTTCACCTGGATGCTACACCCCCCACCCCCCATATTTATGTTTATAGAGATTTCTTCAGCTCTGCTTTTTTGGAGTCTCATGCAAAAAAAAAGAAAAAAAAAAAAGGTGTTTTTTAATATAAAAGCCACAGATAAAGTGAAAGACTTGTACGGTACCAGCAAAGTGGTTTAGGTAGTCATGACAACCATGTCAGTGCTTATAAAACTTCCCTTCTTTTTAATCTCTTGTGCAGCTCAGATAACACACGTGAGCTGTAAAAACGAGATCCGAGCCACAGCGATGACATGAGAGGCACAACGTCCACAGCAGCCAAACCAGCAGGGCTGAGACACTTCTGGGGGTCAGTAATGACAACTTCTGCCCCTCTCAGCTTTGTCATTCAGAGGTGGAAAGCAAAGCACAGCAGAAATAAAGACCCCCCTGCACCCAGAGAAGTTACGGATTTGCTTCCAGCACGAAGGGAGCGACTGCTGTCAGTGAAACAAACCACCACCCCTCCAATCAAGGGAGAAACGCAAGAAAATGGCAAAGCTTTAAAGACCCAAACCTGCCAAGAGTCACGTGGAGCTTCAAAGGGAAAAACAAGGTTGGCATCTGGACTCTTCAATAATTCCATGTATCATTATTACTGTTAAGCAGAAGTTACTGATAAAAAAATAACTCAGACTTGTCTTTTATAATAAAATAACTATGGTCATCATGTGCATTCTTTGCTCCTTTCTCTCAGCTCTGAAGAATAATTCTGCCATCTGTAAGAATGCCCATATTTGATATGATACTGAACCTACAGGGTGTCCATCAGCAGTGCTGGGGAAAGAGCTCCATCTTCTGGGAAACAGCCCTGAGGTGGCCAGGCAGGGACACTGCCCTCCCTCTCCAGGGCAGCCAGCAGATCCCAGGGATTCTCCGTGCAGGACAGCTCCTCTCAGAAACCCAGCCCTGCTCTGCAGCTGCCACAGCTGTTTAAGGAAAAAAAGAAGAGGCTGAGTAAATCAAGATTTCCCAGCTGAGCCACTGCAAGAACAGCATCTCCAAACCACCAGTGGGCACAGCAGGAACACCCCAGTAACCCAAATCCATGGGCGAGCTGGTATAAAACACAAACATCCCTGGGAGAGGCTTTGCCACAAGTTCCAGAGTTCACAGGATGGGAATGAGGGATAAATCACAGAAACATTTGCCAAGGTTAAGAGAGAGCATCTCCAGCAGGTGAAGATTGGAAGCTACCTACAGCTCTACAAAGTGGGAACAAATGTCCTGTGGTTTGGGATACCAGATTTAACAGTGTATGGATGGAGGCTTTGCATTTCTTTTGAACTCCAAAGCATCCACATGGGGAATTTTCCCATTCCCACTGATCCCAAGTGCATCTGTCCCTGCCCTGGTGATGCCAAGGAAGCTCCTTGGATAGGAATTAGGGACTTACAGCTCTGTCATTCCATCAGATTCTGCTTCAGCCCTGGAAAGCTGACCAAGTCCAATAAGCAAAGAACTGAATCACCTTCCTGTGAACACAAATGACAATAGCTGAGAACTTTCTGTTAATTATGTACCAGCCCATGACTTTGTTCTTACACGTTCAGTCATTTCTGTGCAGCTCTTGACAGCATTACCAGAACCACCGCCTCCTTTCAGCTCCTGGGACTTGCTCATTAACCACAGAAACATCTGGAATTACCTTCAAGGGGAACTGATCCTATTAAATGTCTCCACCTTCTTTTTGTTCTTCTGGAAATAATGAGCCTGAAACCACTACAGTGCAGAGCCAGTGCCCTGGCTGATCCCAGGAGCTGTGCATCCTGTCCCTGCTCCCCCTGCAGGGAGGGCACTCCTACCAAGCAGCAAAGAGGACAAATAATGCTTAGAGAAGGCATCTGGCACCAGCTTTCCCACCTGTGGGTTGCAGGTGATACCTCCTCCTCCTATTTTGGTTATGGGAAGTTCCTGATGACTATGGGAGCTGCTCCCTCTGGCCAGAGCTGGAGGACAAGGAGGTGAAAAGCCTGGAATATCTGCCAGGCCCCTTGGAAATCGCAGCCTGGGGTTAAGCTCTCTCTGCAGAGTCAGGGAGAGGTCAGACCTGTCTGGCTTACCATCAAAAAGAACTTTTTGCCGAGCTTTAATCAACGAACTTCAAGAGGTTTGTTGATGCAGACTCTAAACCACAGCTCCAGCTCCTCACCTGCAGTGCAGTGGGTTCTCTGGGACACGGATCCACAGGGAAACCCCCACTCAGCTCCCATAGCACGTCCATAAATAGCAGGCCCCTCTGACAAGGCTTTCACCTGCACTCCATGGCAACGCTGAGGTGGCTCTGCTGTTCCTACAAGTCACAGATCCACATGAGCAGGCAACAGTTGGCTTGGCCTGTTCATTATCCATGAGGACAAAGATAAGGAAGATAAAAGAAAAGAATTCCCAGCACTTTTGGAGCAGCTGCTTTACTGCCCTGAGGCTCTGCTGCAAGTATTTTCCTGCACCTTTTTCCAACACAACTTCTTGGACAAATCACCCCCTGGGTGCTGCATTTAATGTAATATAATTTGATATGATTTGAATGCTTGGGATGGTGTTGCACAAAAAGAGTGATCAGAAACAGAGCTTTCTAAAAGGACAAATCCCCCCATCCCCAGGGATTTAAGGCAGAATTCTCTCCCTCTCTCCAAGGCCAAACATTTCAATTCCCTTTTTGTCCCTGCTGGCTCCCGTGGTGTCCTTGGCTGGGGGTGTCCTGGTGGAGCACAGGTTACCTCCAGCCACCCTTCCAACAGTGTGTGCCAGGCCTGCCTCCTTTTCCAGAGGGAAATTCCCACCTGGAGATGTTCTCTGCCAAGGGAATTGCTCAGGGGGGGCCTCTCTGAAAGCTTTGCTGTGTGGTGTGTGGTGTGAATGACTGAATAACATCTCCAATATTCACCTTACAACTGCAAGTGCTGCAGGTAATTGCAGGATCAGGAATTCCTGGTTAACCAGACCCACTGAGCACCAGTGGAAACACAAGGTGTCCTGGAATTCCTCAGCACCAACAGCACGTGGCAGGAAGGAGGCAGCTCCCCCCCAGCTCCGAGGTGTCCCTGACATATGGTGCATTTTGCCTCGTCTGGGAGCAATTTTATTGCCTTTTTTTTGCAGAGCTGTTCTTTTTTCAGCGGGGCTTCAGAGGAGTGATAATTAATTTTAAAATAACCACGGGCTCCTTTTCAACTTTGGCACACTCAGAGGAGAGGTCCCTACTGAAGCACAGCCACAGCCAGTTCTAATTAGGCACTGGCTCCCCTTCCCAACCTCTGAAACAGGGCTTTCCTCAGAGGATGAAAAATCTCATCACCTCAAAGGTCCCATGTAGTGCAGATTGTCTTCCAGCTGCTGCCTCTGCATTTCACACCCTGCAGGGACAGGATAAAGATGCTCACACTTCCTTTGGATGGGGACGAGAGAAGTGCTGAGAGGGGAAACTGAACACACAAAATAGAGATTATCAATTTTCTGGCCCCATGTTTTCCTCCTCTGAATCCCCAAGGATCTGAAGAGAGAATGATGTGGTTTCTCACTTTTCTGAGGAAACAGCTGGCTTCAAACCCCTGGGACACACATCCCAGCAGGAGGGTTTGACCAACTTCAGGAAGCCTGAGCAAAACAGGAAGAGCCTGAAACACAAGGCTTTGGACTAGAACTCTGAAAGCCCCAATGCTCTGGGTGGTGCCCTGACCGTTAGGAAATCCTGGAAAATTCACACCTATGACACGTTCAAAGCCACAGCTAATGCCGACAACTTGGCAACATCCAGGATCACAGAATGCAACTCACTGGTCAGTTCATTTTTTAAAGACTCTCAGGAAAGGAACCTCAGCAGAGGAGAACACAGCAGGATGATCCCATCCCCTGGCACAACACTCCCTCCTGACTGTCAGGCCAAACTGGGACTCCCAAGCAGGAACGTTTTACAACAGTAATGTAAATGAGGTGCTTTCAAATACGGGTTGTTTCACTCCTGTTTTGATTCAGTGGGAAGTAAAGAGATTGTCAAGGGTATTTTCACCACCTCCCTCCCTTCTGGTGGATGGGAACCAAGTGCAGGGCCAAGGGCTGAGCCCCCACTGCTCCCAATTAACAGTTCAGGGGAGATCAGGCTGCTCAAAGGTAACCCAATTTGAGGGTCACTGCCCTGCCCCTGTAACCTCCATCTGTACACACATTTCTCCAAGGCAGCACAAATAAAAATCTGTGTCAAACAGTTATTTTCACTCTTTTATGTGTAATAAAGTTTTGGGTAAAAAGGAAGAGACCCAATGTCATTGCTTGGAACAAAGCACCTCCACCTGCACTGAGAGCTCAGGGCTGCAGATTGGAGGGGTTTGCAGCAACAAACAAATTTAAACCAACATTCCTACACCTGTAATTCCAAAGTCACTCTGAGTTTATAAAGATGTAAGAGGAACCACAACTGATACTCAATACAGCTCAGATGGCCCTACAGCTCTATAGCTGCTGTTCCCAGGGAAATGCTAATTACAAGGGATCTTTTCTGGGACAGGATATACTTGCACTTCCACATATGAGTAAATGGTCTACGTGAGCATCACAGACAAATCCACCTCAACAAACTCACAGGATGAAATGCAGTTTGTAAGTGCTTTAAAAAAATAAAAAAGAATAAAAAAGAATATTGTCCCAATCTGATGTTCTGTGCCTCTTTCTGTGTCACCTTCTAAGAATAAATGGAGCTGAGAAAAGCATTTTAAAAAGCTACAGTTGGCAATCTAACAGCTAAAACTGGCATTTTAAAAGCCACATTGGCAGGATACAAAGTTTCCCCAGGCAGCCTGAAAGGCCCTTGCCTTTTGAGGCTTTTAGTTGATTAACAAAAAGTTCTGGATCTACTGCCCAGCTGAGCTGGGCAGGACCTCAGGAGTGACGTGGTCCTGTCTGCTCCCAAAAAACTCCCCCAAAACTTCATAAGCAAGGCCTGTGTTTGGGAAAGAGACAACCACCTATAACAGCCCTCTATAAAAAACGAGGTGCAATTAAGCATATACTTTATAAGGCACATGCTTTAAAGCACAACAGTAGTTTTTTCCTACAATTGGCTTTAATCCCTATGATTTCCCCCATTACAGTTTTCCAGCTGTTGTCATTTTGGCCCCCTCCCTTCCAGGGTGTGCTTTATACATTCTCAGGAGCATTTCTTTATTATACCAGCACATGGACTTTTATTGTTCCATAAGTTAGTCCTTAAAACTTGCAGAAACGCCTCGAAACCTCCCATATGTGCTCACAAAAGTGAGGGGGAAGATGGAAAAAAAGACCCCTAGGAAATAAAGTGATGTTTGGTTGGGGATGGGAAGAGCTGAATCCTCCTCTGGTGAGCTGAGCCTCAAGCTGTGCCCACAATGATATTACACAGATGGCCAAGTCACCACTTACAGTCCAACTCATCTTCCCTTTCCCCAGCAGGAATTAAATGGTTCCAGGTATGGTTCACATGGGGTTGCAGTAGCTCAGTGCTGATCTCCCAACACTCACAGAACAACCACTGAATGCAGGTTATTCACCCAGTGTGGGAGACAGAGACACAAAACTCCTGAGGAGGCTGCAGGGGGTGAAAATGCACCCTTTGCCTCCAGACATCTGTACCCGAGGGATGGATCCCTGACATCTTTACTGGGAATTACAATTCCCCACCGTCACAGGAGTTTCACCAGCAGCTCTCTTGTCCTCTCAGCCCAGCTGTGCAGTTTGTGCTCATGGAACTTTCCTCCAGTTCTTCACAGTCTTGACAGCACAGTTTGTTGTGGTGGCTCTCCCCCAGCTGGCCTGGGGGATTCGGGAAGAGTTAAAGCTAAGTAGGAACCTTTGTTCAGGCGAGAATTACGCCCGGACCCGGAAGTTGTAACAATCTGGTTTTCCGGTAAAATGTGCTGAGCACAGCAAAATGTGTTTCGTGACATGCGCAGTAAGCAGAGTTATAGAACACCGTTAGTGGTCAATGGAAGAATATTTATGTATGTGGGAACCAGTGGAGAGTTGACATGTGTAGCCTAAAAAGTGTATAAAAGTAGCAGACATCGTGCAATAAAGTGTTCCAGCCTCTGGATCCACAAGGGTTTTGTGTCGTGTCCCGCCTCAACCCGCGACAGTTTGTGACTAATAATTAAAGGTTAATGTTTGGCCTCTTCCCAAACTACTAAATTACAGTCACTCTGTTTTCATTCCTTTGAAGTCCATTACACACACACACACACACACAAAAGACCTAAAATCAGCAGGTTCCCTACGTTCCACATGCTTTGGGATAGACAAGAGATAAGAACAGTGCATTTATCTAATTTTAAAACAATATATACAATTGCCAAGAAGTTGTGACTGCTACAGCTGTTGCAGGACCAAATGCTGCAGAGAGTCTCCAAGAATCAAACTAATTGTTTCCTCCAGCTTAAGTGCATTTACAGTGTGGCAGTTCCAAGGAATTAAGTGAAAATAGGTCAGCTGAGCTACTGAGAAAGAC